ACCAGCAATCAACAGCCAATTATTGCACAACTATATTCTACCCACCTCAAGACTCCGCTCCAATATAGAAGCATCAAGAAATATGGACCAATAGGCTTTCTACAAACACTTCTATTCAATACCCATTGTTTCTGTTCTGTCTTGTGTTGATACTTTTAATACCCTATTAATATCCCCTCCTGTTCTGTCTTGTGTTAATGCCACATCACCCTTCCCACCTCACTCAAATGTAGATATAATATCAGAGAGACGTAAGTTCTAATCAGTTGTGTATTTGTGAAGTCTTTGAAAATGTAATAAGTTTTACGAAACGCGCCCGTGTCGCGTCAGACTAGAAATAAAAATGAATTTTGGAGAAGTGATTTTTGATTTACCTCCAACAGTGAAGCGTAATATACGAAAGATTGAGAAAATTCGTGTTAGAATTATTAATCTTACTTTTTCGGTCATATTTAATAATATATATATATATATATATATATATATATATATATATATATATATATATATATATATATATATATATATATATATATAATAATATGCGGAAAATCCACAGAGAAATATGAAATGAGGTGAACGTTTCGGCTTTGTTAAAGCCTTTGTCAACACCAGACTGACCGATATATATTATATATATATATATATATATATATATATATATATATATATATATATATATATATATATAATGTATGTATATGTATGTATATATGTATGTATATATAATATATGTATATATAATATATGTATGTATATATATGTATGTATATATAATATGTATGTATATATATATATATATGTATGTATATATATGCATATATATATATATATATATGTATACATATATATATATATATATATGTATATATATATATACATATATATATATATACATATATATATACATATATATATATATGTATACATATATATATACATATATACATATACATATATACATATATACATATATATATATATATATATATATATATATATATATATATATATATATATATATATACATATATACATATATATATATATATATATATATATATATATATATATATATATATATATATATATATATATATATATATATATATATATATATAATTAATTAATTAATTTTACAGAGGCAGTCTCGCTTCTTGCATGGTCGAAGTTCAATCCCGATGATCAAAGTGGTTAGGCATTATTCTTTTTTCACCGGCCTCATATTCCAATTCCTTGTCGTCGTATCCCTCTCATATGCTATGTAGTCATTCTGCCTTAGCAGTTGCTTGCCTTACTGTTTCCTCGTTGCATATATTCACGATATAGCAACACAAATACTCGAGATAGCGTTCAGTCGCTGGAAGAATTTCCAGTCTCCGGAAGTATTAACTTGCCACCGCTGGCCGCTTGCTTCTGAAAAACCAACATTTTATCAGTTTCCTCCTTTTAAGACGTAAGGCAGCTGGGCCGTAAAGTTAGTCCCTCTCCGTCTCCTGCCTCCGCCGCTCCTGGTCTCAGCGCCCAGGACTGTAGCCTAATGATGCAACCACTGCCACTCCGTTTATATATGGCACTGCAGTTGGAAATGATGCTGATGCCGTGTGTATGGTTGGTAGCAGATAAGGGAAACTGGTTGGGTAGCGGTAAGGAGCAAGCCTGTGCTTACCTAACAGTGTCTGTGGGGAAGTGAGGTCTAGCTCTTCATGCCCGGCTCCTTGTTGCGTTACAATTTAACTTTCTTGACGTTCGAATTCATCTTCACATTTGGTCTTAGTTACGGATGGAGGTGGTTTCCACAACTTCTTCTACTCTGTGCAATCCGCTTGTTGTCCTCCCGTCCTGGTTACGAGTATTTCCTTACATTACTTATTTGAGTTTCCAGTTTCTAACTATATACTATTGTCCTGCCTTCTATCAGTTTAGAGAGGCTGCCCCTGTACATCTTTGTCTCTTCCTTTCAGTATCTCGGTATTTTGTATATCGTGATCATGTCCCCCTCTTTATTCTCTCCTTTAGGGTTGTGAGATTTAGTTCCATTAACTTTACCTCGTAGCTTAGAACCTCTCGGTTTTGTCAATAATTTTGTTGCGAATATCTGCATTTTTACACTGGTTTTGTGCTTTACAAGGTTTGGGTTAAGAGGCTGGAGTGTTGATTTTATCAATTTTGCAATTTGTGATCCACAATCAATTGTACATATAGCCACTATGGATTGTTACTAGCCCAAGATTACATTTTGCAGCGCCATTTGTAGTGTTCCTATTGTACAAAACCAGAAAATTTTAGTGGGTACAACTGGCCGTATATTTTGTACGTTTCATCATTAATAGCTCTATAGGTTTTTTTTATACCTTGTCATTTTTAATTTTAGATTCCCATTGTGATTGGTTTGCAGCACCCGTTCTCAGGCTGTACTCGTCTATGATGTGCCCGACCCCAATAAATTTTATTCTATTCATTCAAAATAGGATTTTGGTTTTTAAATATAAATTAATATTGTATATTAGTATATTGCATAATTACGCGCGGGTTAGGTTTGGTGTTGACGTTCTGTTGGCAATTATTTATATTTGTAGTGTGTGGGCGAAACTTTCGAAAGTTGCAATTCGAACAGAGGTCGCCAGCGAAGCACTGTTCGAAAAATGTTGGAACGTCATCAGTTATGATTAGTGTGTAAGCGGTGTTTTATTCATAAACAGGGGGGTTTGGGGGCCTTATGAAATAAACATTGGCCTTCGTTGATGTGGCCGGGTTAATGTGTAAAGCGTTTTCCTCTCATAAATAGGGGATTTGGCTGCTCGGTTAACGAACATTTGACCAGTCATGTTAATGGACTGTGCGCACATTTGTACAGCAGAGGACAAGACACTGTCTTGTCTGTACTGTGGTTGTGACAGGTTGAGGAACTCCCTTACCAACTTGTCACGACTCGCCAACTTGTCATAACTGGAAGTTGTCAGCGAGGAAGCTCTAGGCAATAAAGTTGGTATCACTGAAGTTGGGAATCATACCATTGCCCGCTGTACAGTTGGCACCCATGTGTCACAAACTCCAAGATGTGCACACACCAACCTGTCCTCTTTATAAATTACGTCTGAATTTGGCCGTTTACCCGTATGGCCGAAAATGGACGTAATTTGAAAATGAAAAATTAATTGAAAATAAATTTCGTATTTTTTCTTTTCAAAGCAGCAAGTTAACGGTCCCCCTGGTAGGCTAGGAGGGAAAGAAATTCTTCTAAGGTTTCAAAACATCACGAAAACCATCAATTGAAAGTTTCCTCTCCTAACCTAACCGAGTAAGCCGGAGGACTCAAACAGAAAACGGGAGAGTACGTCACTTTCGTGAGCCGATTTCATTTCAAATTTTTGGCCATAGCGCGCATACGAGCGAAAAGCAACGTTATTTTAAGAGGACGGGTCGCGCACACACCAAGACTGTTGACCATAGGAATACCTGGTGAGTGTTGCTGCTCTCTGCTAGTCTTGGAACGTTGAGTGTGTCTTGGCGTGTTTCCCTCATTCATGATTGTGGTTTTAATGTTTAAAATTACTGGAGAGTAATATTGTATAGTGACTGTTTAATTCTTCGGTGTTTGATCTGTCACTCCGCAAAATGCAATTACTTATCCTAACCAGACACGTACGAACCCATACAACCCACCAAACCTATCGAGGCAGAGGCATATAATACGTAGCCCGTCTTCTCGAGTTGTCACAGTCACTAAACTGATGTACTAAATTGCCCAAACCTAACATAACCGAGAGCTCGCGAAAAGAAAACGGGACATCGCGTCAGTTTTGCGAGCCTCTATGATTTATAGTACACCATATTTTGACGTTGGGGATTTCTAAGTTGCTGGCTATGAGGGCGCTTTAGTATTTGATGCATAAATTGACGTTAAGACGTTACATAATACAACATGCGCATTGATGTTATAACGTAACAATGGGCAGTGACGTCAATGGTCTATAACACGCAATACTTAATATTCTGGGGAGACGAAACTGCCTGTTCTTAATTGGAGGTGACGTAGCGTATCTTTGGTCACTACAACTAGGTGGTGGTAGTCAGGACTAGGTGCAGTTTGAGTACATCACTGTATTGTCCCAGTTAGCCAGATACCTCCTCATAGGATGTCCTGATGTCCCTTTTACTTCACTCGCTCCTCGGTCAAATCCTTTGACACGTGATCTGTGACGCCGCTCGTCTTCTGTTGTTCACCAAGCGCCATCTGGGATGATGCAGAGTGAACCACAACAACCTGATTTATGAGACAATACTGAGGCAATGCAATGGGATCGAACTCTTGTCACATCATGTTGTGTACGCATTATGAATATTTTGGAATTCTTGACTTTGTACCACAGGCGGTGCTATATACCCTCAGGCTTAGTGCATGCATACATGCGTTGTGTTAAGGTTGTCCAACCACTTGGCCTGGGCAATAGAGCTCCCGTTTCGCTTTTGCCAGTCGGCGTTCAATCTTTGCCCGTCTTGAGTGATTGGGCACTATTCCTTGCCTCTATCCCAAATCCTTATCCTCGTATCCCTTTTAATTGCTATATGGTTGTCACGGCTAAGTGTTTTCTACTGATAATTACCGAAGTGCTGTATTAAGGTGGCCTTGTGTTCATTAATGTCTTGCTAGACCCAGTTACAGCCCCGCTTCTGTGCCAGGTAAGTACACTACGGGCTCACCATAGCCCGTGCTACTTGCCCCGCTCCTGTGCCAGGTAAGTACACTACGGGCTCACCATAACCCGTGCTACTTGCCCCGCTCCTGTGCCAGGTAAGTACACTACGGGCTCACCATAACCCGTGCTACTTGCCCCGCTCCTGTGCCAGGTAAGTCCACTACGGGCTCATCATAGCCCGTGCTACTTGCACCGCTCCTGTGCCAGGTAAGTCCACTACGGGCTCACCATAGCCCGTGCTACTTGCAACTTTTCGTTCCTATAAGGTGAATCTAAAACCATGTCTTGCTATGGTGACAGGTGGCTGGTGATGACGGCTGTAGCTGTCAGCGGCGGGGGCCAGCAAGCGCCTTCCCCCACCCTCATCATTGTCCTGACCCTCATGCACCTGTTCTACTGTCAGCACGCGTCAGCTAAGCGCTTAGGAGGCAATGATGGTAAGTACCATGCTTGCCCGTCTTCTCAATGGGTTCCAACCATCCTGATATAGCACAGACGTATTCCTCAGACGTCAACGCTCCAGATATAGCACAGACGTATTCCTCAAACGTCAACGCCCCAGATATAGCACAGACGTATTCCTCAGACGTCAACGCCCCAGATATAGCACAGACGTATTCCTCAGACGTCAACGCTCCAGATATAGCTCAGACGTCAACGCTCCAGATATAGCACAGACGTATTCCTCAGACGTCAACGCCCCAGATATAGCACAGACGTATTCCTCAGACGTCAACGCTCCAGATATAGCACAGACGTATTCCTCAGACGTCAACGCCCCAGATATAGCACAGACGTATTCCTCAGACGTCAACGCTCCAGATATAGCTCAGACGTCAACGCTCCAGATATAGCACAGACGTATTCCTCAGACGTCAACGCTCCAGATATAGCTCAGACGTCAAGGCCCCAGATATAGCTCAGACGTCAACGGTACCAGGTTGCAAGTAAGGGTGTATAGTTTAACACCACCAACAAAGCCATTAGTCAAAGAATCAGTCGTGTCTGTGGTTCCTGACACTGTCTGTGTCAGCCTCTGTGGCAGCAAATCTTACCTGTACAATACCGAGACAATACTGAAGTGTATTTTTGAAATGTGTTGAATTTGTAGTGTTGCCCCTACAGTCATACATTTGTAGTGTTCCCACCACGTATACTACCCACTTACTAGAAGTGTCCTCGCTGAAGTGTTTCAAGCCTAGGTTACACATGTATGTGGGTGAATTTGGGTAGATATAAATAGCTGCTTCACATGGACCAATGGGAGCTGCCTCGCGTGGACCAATAGGAGCTGTTTTTCATGGACCAATGGGAGCTGTTTTTCATGGACCAATGGGAGCTGCTTTTCATGGACCAATGGGAGCTGCTTTTCACGGATCAATGGGAGCTGCTTTTCATGGACCAATGGGCCTTCTGCAGTTTTCTTTATTCGTAAATGGTACATTTCTGAAGCCCAAGCGACTACCAATATGTAGGTCAAGATTGACATTGAGAGCTTTAAGTCCACTTCTTCAGGGATCAGAGTGTTTTTTCCTAATTTTCAACTTTATTTCGTTGTGCTCGCCTTCACTCGCTCGCGCTCCTTTGCTTTCTTTTACTCTCTCAATCTCATTTTTGTTTGTTTATACTGATGGGTAGAAGTAGACGGCTTGTGTTAGCAGGCTCAGAACTTTCCACTCCCACAGCCAATGTATGTATAGCACGTGTGTGTGTGTATGTATATATATATATATATATATATATATATATATATATATATATATATATATATATAATATAATATAATATAATAATATGCGAACAAGCTTGAATGATCCTCAAGCCAATATGCAACTGAAAACTCCATATCCCAGAAGGATTCGAACCCAGACAGCCAGGAGCACTATGCACCTAGGCGTACCTGTTACTTTAACCACTCGACCACCATGACTGTACAAAAGTCATTACTGGCTGGTTGTCTGGGTTCGAATCCTTCTGGGGATGTGAAGTTTTCAGCTGCATATTGGCTTGGGGACCATGACATGAGGCAGGATGCAGCACATATAAGCTGTCTAACTCCCTGCTACCTATCTACTGCATAGTGAACACAGGCATGAGGTGAAAGAAAATTCTACCAAATGGCTTCCGCTTTAATTACGGCTTTAAGTCGAAGACATTTATTGCTAGTCTACGGAGCCCACTACCACCTGCTCTCTCTCTCTCTCTCTCTCTCTCTCTCTCTCTCTCTCTCTCTCTCTCTCTCGCTCTCTCTCTCGCTCTCTCTCTCTCTCGCTCTCTCTCTCGCTCTCTCTCGCTCTCTCTCTCGCTCTCTCGCTCTCTCTCGCTCTCTCTCTCTCTCTCTCTCTCTCTCGCTCTCTCTCTCGCTCTCTCTCGCTCTCTCTCTCGCTCTCGCTCTCGCTCTCGCTCTCTCTCTCGCTCTCGCTCTCGCTCTCTCTCTCGCTCTCTCTCTCTCTCTCGCTCTCTCTCTCGCTCTCGCTCTCTCTCTCTCGCTCTCTCTCGCTCTCGCTCTCTCTCTCGCTCTCTCTCGCTCTCTCTCTCTCTCTCTCTCTCTCTCTCTCTCTCTCTCTCTCTCTCTCTCTCTCTCTCTCTCTCTCTCTCTCTCTCTCCAATGAGGTGGTAGAGGTACTTGGTTGATTCTACTTGGAATTAAAGTAGACAATATAAATCTAATTACTATTCTAATGTACAAACCGCCACATGCAACAGTTGAGGATTTCACTGAACAGATTGACGAAATAGAGAATATCCTTGATAACCTAGCAAACCCAGTACCAGATATTATCTACCCAGTTTAAAATGAAGAATAGTAAACAATAACATTATAGCAGGAAATCAACCTGGAAATAACCAACCACAGGTCAGAGAACTACTGAGATTGTGACAAATTCTCGCTCAGTCAGCAGATTACAGAACCAACTAGGAACGAAAACACACTGGACCTGATATTTATTAACAATGATGAGCTAATGAGAGACATTACAATCTCGGACCAGGTTCTTGTCACCAGGCTCTTGTGTCACCTGGCTCTTGTGTCACCAGGCTCTTGGTCGTAGTGCTTCCTGTCGGTGGGAGGAGCGGCGGAGGTATTGATCTTGTGGGATAATAATGTGAGGGGTGGTGTCCTCACCACAGTACCTCAGAGTCACAAGGGAAGCAGAAAAGCAATTTGAAAATTACAAGCAGCCAAAGCAAGGACTCAACCCAAGTACTTTCACAGCCTTATCAGGAGGTAAATACATATTGGAACAAGTGAGGAAACCGAGCATAGGATAGGACACATTCACCGAGAACAACAGAAGTGTGTGAAGTACTCGGTAGAAGGTTTCAAGTGTAACGCCATTAGAAGAGGAAACAAGGGTGATATGATTGCCACGTACAAAATACTCTAGGATAGAGGCAGAGTAGACAAGGACAGACTGTTCAGCATGGATATTACACGGACGAGGGTACATAGATGGAAACCTAAGTACCTAAATGAGTCACAGAATAAATCCACAAGGGCCGTGGTAAGGGTTCGAACCTACGTCCGAAAGGATCCCAGACGCTGCCTTAATCGACTGAGCTACATGGTAAAAGAATTGCAACCGGGATTTCAACTGACCTCACACGGATCCTGCAGTCTCTCCGAGACAAACCAGGGTTGTACATAATTCTCCCCATGCACCCGAGCTATGTCAATAAGCTATTCTACCTCTCTGCCCTTCATCACGCTATTGTGATTTGTGTGTAATGAAGTAAGGGCGGAGAGGTAAAATAGCTTATTGACAGCCCGGGAGCATGGGGGGAATTGTGTAAAACCCTGGTTTGTGTCTCGGAGAGGCTGCAGGATCCGTGTGAGGTCAGTTGAAATCCCGGTTGCAATTCTTTTACCATGTCGTAGCTCAGTCGATTATGGCGCGTCTGGGATCCTCTCGGACGTAGGTTCGAACCCTCGTCACGGCCCTTGTGGATTTGTTAATTTGATGCGAAAGGGAAGGCGTCGTGGCCTCCATCATGCCCTCACGAAGGCACGAAAGGGAAGGCGTCGTGGCCTCCATCATGCCCTCACGAAGGCACGAAAGGGAAGGCGTCGTGGCCTCCATCATGCCCTCACGAAGGCACGAAAGGGAAGGCGTCGTGGCCTCCATCATGCCCTCACGAAGGCACGAAAGGGAAGGCGTCGTGGCCTCCATCATGCCCTCACGAAGGTACGAAAGGGAAGGCGTCGTGGCCTCCATCATGCCCTCACGAAGGCACGAAAGTGAAGGCGTCGTGGCCTCCATCACGGCCTCACGAAAACACGAAAGGGAAGGTGTCGTGGCCTCCATCACGCCCTCACGAAAACACGAAAGGGAAGGCGTCGTGGCCTCCATCACGCCCTCACGAAGGCACGAAAAGAAAGGCGTGGAGGCCTCGTCGGAGCACAAAAGGAAGGAGCAAGTCAGTTCAAGGATGGCAGGAAGTGACGCTACGAGAGAGAGAGAGAGAATACCTGTGAAGTAAATGTTGACTGAGGAAGTTGGTTGGCCCGAGTTATGAGTCGCTGTTGCCAGGCGGCGCGTGCCACGTGAATATGGCACCAGCTACATTATCATCCCATTCACCTGGTCACGGGTCTCGAACCCTGGACCCCACGCGTGTGACGCCGTAGGGGGTCCGACACCCATACAGCCCAGGTGAATGGAATGTCATCCACACGGAAATGTGGATGACAAGTCTACATTATTATTGTTTGTAAGGGAAGGAATTTAACTTAACATCTTGGCAAAAGGAAAGGAGATGATGGGAGTTACGGTGGAAGATAAACAGACGAACAGGAAGTATCAAAGGGTTAAAAGAATGGGGAATAAGAAATAATGAAGAATAAGGAGGATGGACATGATTGGGAGCAAGATGGTAAAGCAACATGAAGTGTAAAGGTAAATAAAGTGATCAGGGTGAAAGTGACGATAAACACAAGAACAACATTGTTCCAAGGGAGAGGATATCATTGTTCCAAGGGAGGAGGTTATCATTGTTCCAAGGGGGAGGATGTCATTGTTCCAAGGGAGGAGGTTATCATTGTTCCAAGGGAGGAGGTTATCATTGTTCCAAAGGGGAGGATGTCATTGTTCCAAGGGGGAGGATGTCATTGTTCCGAGAGGATATCATTGTTCCAAGGGAGGAGGTTATCATTGTTCCAAGGGAGAGGATGTCATTGTTCCAAGGGAGGAGGTTATCATTGTTCCAAGGGGTAGAATGTCATTGTTCCAAGGGGGAGGATGTCATCGTTCCAAGGGGGAGGATGTCAGTTCCAATGGGGAGGATATCATTGTTCCAAGAGGGAGGAAGGGAATTATCAGGGGGAAAACACCAAGCCATTACGACTATATAGCACTGGGAAGGGGTCAGGATAAGGATTAGGGATGGGACTGGGGGAAAGGAATGGTGCCCAAGCACTTGGATGGTCGGGGATTGA